TTCTCGACCTCCATCCTTCCTAAACTGGAGAAGGGTGACGGGGGTCCGTCTAACGCTGTCGTTGGCTCGTCCCCTTATCTCAGGGGAGGGGACGATATCCATGTTCTCCACCAACTGTAGTGCTCCCTCGCTCCCCAGTGGGGAGGGAGGCCACTCTGCCTCATTATATTGGGTGGTAGTCCTCGGCCTTGGGTTGCTAACTGCAGAGCCCTCCCTTCCTGCCCCATCCTGGTACTTACGGCAAGGGGGGTGGAGCAGGTTTGGCTCTGCCCACCAGGGGGCACGTAGAGCTCTCTTGCTCTCCAGTCCGGTGGGAGGGCACTCTGCCTGACTACCAGGTGTCATTGTAAATCTTCATAGAATATCAGGGCTGGAAGGGACCTCAGGAGATCATCTCGTCCAACCCCCCTGCTCAAAGCAAGACCAATCCCCAATTTTTGCCCCAGATCCCTAAATGGCCCCCTCAAGGATTGAACTCACAACCCTGGGTTTAGCAGGCCAATGCTCAAACCACTGAGCTATCCCTCCCTCGAGTATTGTAAAATGCTGAGTATGTTTATGACTATTTCAAGTGCATCCAAGTTTTAAAATTGGTGTGTCAAAACTTCACAGAGTATTATTAATCAGTTGTATTAAAGTAATGCATAGAGACCACAACACAAACTGTGGTCCTATTGCACTAGGCTTTCTACATGGAGTAGGACAACCCTTTCCCAAAGAACTAACAATTTAAATTGATGAGACAAAGTATGTAACATTAAACGAGGTAGGCAGCAGACTAGAAGACAGGAACTCTTGGCTTCACCAGTGACTTTCAGGAAATCACGGGTTAACCTCTTTGCGTCTCAGACTCCACCATCTGTAAAATGGGGATACAGCAGAAGCCTCCAATGAAGGCATTTCACTATATAATAGGGCAGGACCAACCTAACACGAGATCCCATTATTCTCACACCAGAAGTGGTGGCAGGGCATCAGAGCCAGCCTTTCGGATGGCCCTTGGAAACTATTTTTGCTGCCTTCACAGACGAAAGAGACTTCTGTCAACCATGATTGCGGAGCTGGTCTGTGAATTTGTAAGATGATTGTTTGAATACACCACAAATGTAACTGATTCGTAAATACAGTGCTTTGAGATGTTTAGGCCAACTCCAGTCTCCTCCAGCCAAAGTAGAGTCCAGCAGCTTTTTTCTTTGACCCTAGTCATTCACCTATACCAGTTTACTACTGTAATAGGTGAGGAAATGTGACTGAGTTGAGATGAGGACATTTGGGACTTTCAGTTCCCTTTACTACAGAGCAAATCCTCTCTCTACGACGCTGCCCAGGGACCTGGACATTGGGGAAAGGGAAAGAGCAGGGGTTTTGTGGGTTGCAGTGCTGCCTAAAACCAGGACTGGTGTACCTAAAGCCAGGGTGTAGGTGCCTAAGTCCCTCTGGATCTGGCCCTAAGAGGCTTCCTTACGTGAATGCTTGGGGCCAGTTCTCCACATTCTGACCTGTTTGCATTCTGTACCCACCTAGCACCAGGGTAGATGACTGTACTAGTTGCAAAGTAGTGGAAAAATTAGGTTCTAAGCCGGGGTGGCCAACCTGAGCCTGAGAAGGAGCCAGAATTTACCAACATACATTGCCAAAGAGCCTCAGTAATACGTCAGCAGCCCCCCATCCACTCCCCAGCCCCCACAAATCAGCACCTATTCCCCCCTCACCCCGCAATCAGCTGTTTCATGTGTGCAGGAGGCTATGGGGGGGAGGAGCAAGGGCATGGCAGGCTCAGAGGAAAGGGTTTGGGGGAACGGGCTTGGGGGAAGGGGTGGAGTAGGGGCAGGGCTTGGGGCACAGCAGGGGGTTGAGCAGTGAGCACCCCCCAGCACATTGGAAAGTTAGCATCTGTAGCTCCAGCCCCAGAATCAGTGCCTAGGTAAGGAGCTGCATATTAACGTCTGAAGAGCCGCACGTGGCTCTGGAGCCACAGGTTGGCCACCCCTGTTTTAAGCTATTTGAAAAGAGCAAGAAGGAGCAGCTGCACCCTCACAAAGCAGAAAACACGCATCTCCTGGAGTTCTAAGCCACCTTCTTTATATCTATTGACCAACCAAGCTCGTCTAAAACTCCTCAGGTAATAAGAGCAGATGAGATGAGACATATTTAAGTTTGTATTGACATAAGAGGGCACTGCTGCTTCTTTTTCACGCGAGACTGGGTCTTAGATTAACATTTTTAAGCCCTCCAAATTCTTTGGCTTTATTTGACTGTACTTTATTTTTTCCTGTTTGTGTTTTCCCCCCTCCCATGCCTTAACTCTTAAGCCACTGTTGTTGTTTTTTTTAATTTAAGATGAATTCAATGTAGAAATGTTTCTAGCTTTTGTCATACACAGCCAATGTCTTTCGCTACTCTGCAAGTGCAACCTCTGGAGGCATCAGCACCGATGTCTTCGAACCTAAACATTGTTTTAAGTTCATAGGTTGGATTCACAGCAATGAACAAGAGACTCCATCCACCAGCCACTCCCACCTGGTCCAGTCAGTCATCCCACATCTCCCCTAAATTGGCGTGACTTTGTGTCCAGAGTGGAGAGACTGGGATTTATCATTAAATTCCAATCCAAAGTTAATTGAATTAGCACTTTCATGAGCCCAGTGCATCTCAAGGTGCTTTAAAATCAATACACAAAATACAAAGTGCAAGAAGGGCTCAGTAGCATGAGATTTACATGGAACGTTTTTATCTTTTTATCCAGTTTATGTTACATTTAAGACTATTAACTCAGAATCAATAAATCTGGTGGGCAAAGATTTCCAGATTCAGGAAGCCCAAAAAGCAAAGGAATATGATTTTTAAGGTGTTTATCCTAATTTTTGAAACATCCAGTAAACAGATATTGGATGATCTCAAGTAACAACTAAATGTTTCCTTGATAACAACTCAGATGAATTCACCAAAGTCCTTGTGTGTACCTCCCACAAGTCTTCAAAGCAGTTTTACTGTATACATTTAAAAAAAAAAAATCAATGAAGTATTTCACTGAAAACCTGTCCTAGAAATGCATGTGGCTATAAAAGTTAATAAATAATTACTCCCTCATGACAACAGCACCATGGAGAGTTTGTGGCTTCCAGTTCTAATTCCACCAGCAACATTTGACACAAGTTGGAATGGAGAATGTGGCTTACTTCCCAGAAATGCAATGAGGTTTGGGCTTCTAAGTCACTTAGATGCTTTTGAAATATTTACCCTCAGTATCGTAATGTAAATAATTAACTTATGTGTGGTCATGCCTTGGCTTCAAAGAGGTTTATCTACAGAAGAGGTACCATCCCTTGCGCAAGATATCTACTACAGTAAACATACAGGTTTCAGAGTAACAGCCGTGTTAGTCTGTATTTGCAAAGAGAAAAGGAGAACTTGTAGCACCTTAGAGACTAACCAATTTATTTGAGCATAAGCTTTCGTGAGCTACAGCTCACTTCAAGCTTATGCTCAAATAAATTGGTTAGTCTCGGTGCCACAAGTCCTCCTTTTCTTTTTAGTAAACATACAGTAGAACCTCGGAGTTACAAACACCTTGGGAATGGCGGTTGCCTGTAACTCTGAAATGTTCAGACCTCTGAACAAAACATTCTGGTTGTTCTTTCAAAAGTCTATAACTAAACATTGGCTTAATACAGCCTTGAAACTTTACTATGCAGAAGAAAAAAATACTGCTTTCCCTTTATTTTTTTAGTAGTTTACATTTAACATAGTGCTGTACTGTATTTGCATGAGTGTGGGAAGGAGAATAGAGAGAAAATAAACAGGTTAACCCTCAAGCTGCATCAGCAACTACATTGTTTCATGCCTCTAGCCTCCATCTTCCCAACGCCCTTTTCCCCAGATGGTGTTTGTCTTCTTCCTCCAAGCGTCTCAACATAATATTGTAATCACCTCAGGGCAGGAACACTGCTATCTTTAATTTGTCACACATGTAGGTGGAGCAACAGAAATAGCTGTTGATAATGGCATAGGTGCAGCTGAAGGAGCATTATTTTTATGAGCTTTGACGTAGGCCTATCCTCCTCAGTGCTATTTTCACAAGCTAACACAGGTTTATCTACATGAGCCGCAAATCACACCCCTGCCTGTAGTGTTGACATACCTACCCCTCCCAGGTAGACAATGTCCAAAGACAGAGGAACAACAACTCTTCCACCCTACCTGGACGTAGTTCCCTGCAGACTCATTACCCTACTCTCAGGCTCTGCAGAGTTCTGTCTCCCTATCTTACTGAGCCCTGCAGCTGTCTCCTTGAATGCCTAGCTTTGCCTGAGCTGCTGACTAACAGGGCTTCTTTCTTCCCTACCTGCTTTAGGAGTCTCTCTTTTTTGCACCAGCTATCCAGATACTTCAGGGACAGTCCCACACTACAAACTCCTTCCTACAGGCCTCACCACAGTTCCTTTTCCAGCAGGTAAATCTAAACCCACCCCAACCTTTCTTCTTCTTCTTCTACATCTCCTTCCCCCTATTACCCTGCAATCCTTCCCTTATAGGAAGCCTGGCCTGGCTCTCCCCAGCTGGCTCTAATCCTTCATTGCCTCTCCACTCCAGGTGCCACAGAATGTGCTAACTGAGCTCTCTGGCTCCCCCTCCCACTGTCACTGCCACTGTGGTGTTTATACACCCATCCCAGGTCCCCACTTGACTGAGGCTTCTAGGCACTACCCCAAACAGTAATCAATGTGCTCCGGCAGCAGCAGACCCCACGGTTCTACAAATTTGTTCTGCAAAATCAGGATCTCTTGAAAAATGGAGACCCCACGTCAGAGAAGTCCCAGAAACAGTGTCTAGATGCAATCAGTATCAGTGGCAATTTGTATTGCTGACAGCCTAGCTAATGTGGTTGATGGGTTTCATTCCACCTTGCATAACTTGTGTGTAACAAGACACTGGAGGCGTGGCAACATCCCAGCACTGCAGGCTCCCTGCCTGTGACTTTCTGCTGCGTTAGCAAGATTGTTCATGTTGTAATAGATAGAAGGGAATGGGGCTGGACTGTGGGAAATTAGTGATAAGCCTCAAAATGGGTAAAAAACAAACCAAAAGTAATGAAGACATTATTTTTAGGCAAGTAAAACAATCAGGGAGGCAGAGCCTGTAGGAGGTAGGAAGAGGAGGGGTCAATACATACATGCTCAGAGGATTTTGTTTGGAGAACTTAGTGTGAACATGACAGAAAAGGAAACCTGAATCCAGTTCCGGCCTCCCATACACAAATGCAGTAAGACTCTCTGGAGAGTTTGGTGCAGAGCTACTTCTAGCTACTGCTCTAACCAAGGGGCATAGCCATCTCCCATCACTGGACTCCAACAAGTGATTTTGGTAAGTATTTGTTTTAGTTTGTATTCAAGAATGGGCTGGGGAAAAGTCACTTCTCAGCAACAAGGAGACAGATAAGAGCATAGAAGTGGTGCTGGGTGGGGCAAGGAGAACTTGGCCTGTTTAAATTCCTACTGAATAGTCTTATGGAATATCCTGGACTGATTATATGATACAGTAAATAAGCAAAAAGAAAAGGAGGACTTGTGGCACCTTAGCGACTAACCAATTTATTTGAGCATAAGCTTTCATGAACTACAGCTCACTTCATCGGAGTGAGCTGTAGCTCACGAAAGCTAATACTCAAATAAATTGGTTAGTCTCTAAGGTGCCACAAGTCCTCCTTTTCTTTTTGTGAATACAGACTAACACGGCTGCTACTCTGAAACCAGTAAATAAGCAGCCCTCTCTTTCTCACTGATCCCTTGCCCCACTGCTGCTGCTACTCGATGTGACACCTAAGGAGTGTATAGAACAAATGGGTAGTGGCAGGGGATGGACTAGGTGATCTAATAGTCTTTTCTCATTGCAGTATCTCTGAATGTAATGTATGTGGTGATAGGGGAAAGAGGGAGTTTCTGGTGGGGGGAGCATGAAGCAGATGGGGAATAGCTGTTCCAAACAATCCCCAGAAGGGAACAGGGCAGCACAGGGGTGAACGCCAGAGAGAGCCCTGCAAAGAAATAAGATAAATAGTATATGCAGGTACACTCACAAGCACAGAATTTAGTCTCAATCTGAAAATATAGCAATGGCAGCTAGCAGAAATCCCTGGCTCCAGAGGATGATTCTGCATTCTGGAATGATACAAGCAGCTGTCTGGTCCTTGATCACTCAGCAGGCCTGATATCTAGGAAACAGCACAGGAAAGAGAGGCACTGGGCGAATGAGGTGTGGTTCCTCGCATCACAGAAGAAGTGGCTACAATCTCCTGCTCCACCTCTTCCTTAGAAAAAAGACTCGCCCTCCTGCTGAGCAGGTACAAAAGGAAAGGAATTTAAATAATCAAAAACACAAATCTGAGCCAATTGAGTTGCTGAAAACTATGTACCTCAAAGTTACAGTTTGTCAGGCTGGTTTATAGGGCACTGTACTAAGAGTCAGGAGGCCTGGGTTCTATTCCCAGTTTGTTCTGTGGGTTTGGGTGGATCACCCCATCTCTCAATGCCTCATCTTTCCAATCTGTAAAATGAACCACCCTTATAAAATACATTGAGACCAAAAATGCAAAGTATATAGGAGCTAAGTATTCCTTAGGCATTCTTATGTTGATCTCATATCCAGGATCAGGGACCCATTGTGCTAGGCACTATGTGGCCATGCAGGAAGACAGTCCTAGACTGAAGAACTTACAATTTAATAAAAGACAAGACCAAAGCAGGGAATGGGGGTGGGAGAACTCGGGTAACTGGGATAGGAACATGTGGTTGTGTAGAATAGTTATGTGCACCTCTGGATGGCCTTGGGTCTTTTTTAATTATAAGGTAAATGTAAGTAAATACATTGATACTGTAGCAGCAATCTGCCCAATATGCCCCGAAGTATGGGCACCACACTAACAATGGCAATGGGGAGCAAAGTCTGGGAGGAGCTAGAAAGAATGATGAGCAGCAGCAGTTGTTCTAGGACAGATTCCCACCTGCCCCTTGATCCTGCTGGAAACGTACAGTGTGCGTAAATATTTCTACACACTTTACCCATCATAACTTCCATGACAGATAGTTGCCTCAAAACAAAACAAATGAATAGCCATGTTAACTAGAAATGCTTCTGATGCCTAGAGAGGGGAGTGGGCTTCAGAGTCCGAGCTCCAGCCCTATCTGCAACTTCAAAGGGCTGTCTAGACAGCTATTTATTTAGAGTGCTAGCACGAGCCCCACTGGACCAAGTCTGTCAACCTAGGTTCTCGCTCGCTCTGGAATGCCAATGTCTGCTGTGTAGACATACTCTTGGAGGTTGATTGTCCCTCGCCTTTGAACAGGTGATGGTGAGGGAATCAGATGAGAGTGGGTCACACCAAGAAGCTTTTCTGCATCCTGTACAAGAGCCAGGGACAATTGCAGTCCGTGCCTTTGGTGGACTACAGTGACTGATTCCTTCATGTCCTGCCGCAGCATCCTTACTAGCCTACAGAACTTGCCAGCAGTGAAGATGGGAGCAGGCTGAATAGTGCTAAAACATAGTACAGGCTGTTCATTCCCATCACTTGCACCGGGGAGTGGGTGAAGGGCTGTACTTCCCAAGGAGCAGTCTCTCCTAGAGCTTTCCCTGCAGTCATGTGACTCCATACCGCAACATTGTAACATATACATTCTGGTCCCTAGAGAGCTCCTGTGCCAAAATCAAAGTTAAACAAGATACTTCAGTTGGACCTTAAAAGTTACTGTCTTCCTAAACATCTAGAGACCTTTTTTTTTTCCTTTTAAATTTAAATACCAGGCAGCTATTCACAACCAAAACCATTCTCAACCTTGCCCTTTCTTTGCAGATAAGTTATGAAGCTGTTGGTTCTTGGTGCAACAGGTCAATCTGGTCAGTTTCTGGTCTCACAAGCGCTACAGCAAGGCCATGAAGTGACAGCACTTGTGCGGAATGTCACCAAACTGACTATTCAACATAAAAATCTGAAGGTATTTCATTTTTTAAATACTAAGCAGATAATAGTTTTCTATATGAGGTCGTTTGCTGAAGTGACTAGTGATTTTGGGTACCTCAACTTGACACTTTAGAGGGGCCTGATTTTCAGAGGGTGGGCGCTCAGCACTTTCTAAAAATTGTGGTCATTTTAATGTGTCTCAAGTCAGGCAACCAATAATACAAGCAATGAGGACCACTATTTTTTTTTTTTTTAATCTTGGCCTAAATATATTCTATATTTATCTACTGGTACTTATACTGCCTATGGATCCGATCCAAAGCCTGCTGAATTCAATTGAAGTCTCTCCATTGGACTCTGTAGGCTTTGGATCAGCTTTCTAGATAGCTATTGTAACTCAGGTTGAGCAAATGATTCTACAAAAACATGTCAGCCTGCCCAATGACATCCAAATTATTTGTGTGGCATGTGATCTCCGAAAACCAGATACAGCACCTGCAGGTTCCTGCCCTATTAGAAATTCCCACCTTACTTTCTGAACCAATATCTCTACAATCCCAGGAGATTTTATGTTATACCACGTTTCCTGCTCTTTTCTTCTTTAATTTTAACGATGAGCGCTCCAGCAGCAGTTTGGGTCTGGGAATTGAAAGGGTGGAATTGCCAAAGGCTCTGTTCCTGCAGAGTGCTGATTTCAGTGGGATTTGAGAGCAGTCAGCAGTTCTCAAGAGATGCTTGCAGGAATGGGGTCTAACTGCCTCAGAGAACAGCTTCACCAGACACCTTGACTGGACTTCTTGTGACCTTGGAGAAGAGAGCATTGACTTTGGACCAGGCAAACAAAGAAGTGAACACGCCCTTGAAGACTGGGTCCTCTCTAGAGCCTGATCCTCTAGGTCAGTATCATTAGTCTGTCGAGCTGGAAGGCACTGAACTGCAGTGCCGTCCAGTGTATTAGGCAGTGGGCCAGGAGTTAGGGTCTCTCAATTCTATTCTCAGCTCTGCCACTGAGGTTCTGAGTAAACCTGGGAAGTCCCTTCATCACGCTGTGCCTCAGGAGAAGGAAATGTTGATGGATATGGTGGGGAGAGAAGTATTGACAAGATTATGATATTATTACATCTTTTTAGGTGGTGGAAGCAAACATCTTTTCAGCAGAACTGTTGTCGGGACATTTTCAAGGTCAAGATGCTGTCATTTCCTGCTTGGGCTTCCCCTACAAGATCTTCTCAGCAATTTCAGGATACACAGATTCAATGGAAGCTATAGTGGCTGCCATGCGGCTAGCCACAGTGAACCGTGTAATAACCATGACATCATGGTACACTTCCCGTGAGTACAGTAACCAGTGGATTGTTCAAGTGCATCTTTCTAGGCATTGCCTCCAGAGAGAATAAGTAAGCAGGGGGGGTTACTATTGTCTACCGGGTAAAGGGGATTTTAGTGTCTGAGATTCCTGAGAACCTTGAACTGAAAATTAAGAGTCTCAGTACTGAAGGAAAGAAGAGGCCCTGGAGGTTTTTCATCTTCCTCTGTAGCATGGGGCACGGGTCACTTGCTGGAGGATTCTCTGCTACTTGAAGTCTTTAAATCACGATTTGAGGACTTCAATAGCTCAGACATAGGTGAGAGGTTTTTTGCAGGAGTGGGTGGGTGAAATTCTGTGGCCTGCGTTGTGCAGGAGGTCAGACTAGATGATCATAATGGTCCCTTCTGACCTTAGTATCTATGAACAAGCAGTTCTGTTGTTGTTGACCAGGGATAAAATTTTCAGAAGCCGTAATTGACCTAACCTTCTACATTGTCTTACAAGTCAATAGGACTGAGGCTCTTAAGTCACTTTATTATTTGTATTACTGTACTGCTTAGGAGCCCTAGTCACAGACCAGGAGTACATTGTGTTAAGTATTGTACACGCACAGAACAAAAAGACAGTCCCTTTCTCAAGGGGCTTACAATCTAAGTAAGGTGCCTTTGAAAATTTTTCCCCATATCCCTTCTTGTTGGATTTCTAAGCAGAACCCACTAAAATTCCCCAAAGTCCAGCATACCGCCTGGGATAGCTCCTTTAGAGGCTGTCTTGGCTTCATTTTTCCCAAAAACCTCATATCCTATCCAGAATATTACAAGGATCATGATAAATTACATTGTATTTCATGTGACTGGACGATATATCCTGTCTGGTGCATTTACAAATAGAGCTGAAAATTTGGTGAACCACTTTTACAGTATTACAGACCAGCCTCATTTGATAGAAGATGCTGATACAGTAGGTGTTATAGTACCTAGGCCCAAGGTGTTTATCATGCTTATCTAGAATTCCTTCTTTTATTGGCTAGCTAAACACTGGAAAACACCCTTCTTTTGACTTCCATTAAAAAAGTGTTTTTTAAATCTGTAGGACAACAGACTGAGGTCTGCTGGAAATTCTCTCTAAGCTTCCTGGTTCCCTCCTGCAGTCTCTTTCTCTACAGACTTCCCTCACCTTATTAATGCGTACCTCTGCCCTTACTATAGTGAATCAAACTCCCAAAGATGGTAAAGGGGCCCTCTCTCAACTTTCCTATGCTTCACAAGGAACTCCTCTGGGTTTACCTTCCCTGTCTGGATCCGTTCTGTCCCAATACCTAGACTGATGCCATATCTCTTGAGGATGCATGAGGGCTGTGATAGCCAATATAGCCAAACTCATGTTCAAGAATTCTGTGAGAAGAGTGAAAAGAATGTCTCTTTCCTTACAGCTGAGTCTGGACAGAATGCTCCACTCATGGTGCGTTTTCTCCTCCTGCCACTCATCAGAAGTGTGCTTACCAACATGAAACAAATGGAAGACTACTTAGAGAAGGAGTGCAGTGACCTCAGCTGGACTGTAGTGAGGCCACCAGGACTTCAAAATGTTCCAGCCACAGGTAAAGGAACTATGGTAGCAGCATCAACTATGGGAAAGCTTTGATGACTGTATAACCAGTGAGTAATATTGATGGCCTTATGGGTGATGAAGATATCCACTCATTGCCTACTGTCCTTATTTTGAATAGATGTTAAGTACCTCCTGCAGCAGGTGCTGATTGGCCTTAATTTTGACTATGTTTTTATTTGTATTATGGTAGCACTTCAGAGCCCCAGTCATGGCCAAGACCCTATTGTGCAAGGTGCTGTTCAAACGCAGAACAAAAAGACACTCCCTGCCCCAAAGAGCTTTCCTTTGGAGTTGAGGCCACTCAGTATTTTGCAAGTTCTGTTAGTTAGGCTTGAGGAGCATTGGTAGAGCTATCTGGAAAAGAGTGCAGAGCGACATCTAGCTAGTACCGTTAATTACTTTCGGGTGGCCCGAAATATTTTAAACTGAAAGAGGGAAAGAAGGTATTAAATGGATTTGAGAATAAATGTTTCCAGTGTAGGGGTATCAATTATATGTTACCTACATCATTTAGCCAATGTTTCCAGGGACTGCTATATCAAAGCTTTACTAACCAAGGACCTGATCCAGTGCCCATTGAAGTCAGTGGAAAAACTTCAAGGAGCATTGGACCAGGGTCAAGGATAATAAGTGGAAAAACACCGAATTGAAGGAACAGTATCAAAGAATAGACAGGCCGCAAATTTATCTTACCTGTTACTTACTTCATGCCATGCATGCAGGAAAATCAAGCCCTGTTGTGTTCAGTTTTCCATTCTAGTGTGAAGGTAGAGCTCTTGTTAATTTCATTTTGCCATGACTGCGGCAGATAAAGCACTAGACTAGAGCTGTGTGAAACCCAGGGTGTTCAGCAGAGTTCAGACAAATCTCTTTTAGACTTCATTTCATGTAAGGTAGTAGTAGTACCCTCTCTGTGTTTGTCTGAATTTGTGAACCCAACATTCCAAAGCAAAGCTCACCTCTAATTAACAATTTGGGGCTGATTTGACTCAGGCTTTGGCTACTCTTGCAAGTTAGAGCACATTAAATCAGCCCCGGGTACCCTAATTCTTGAGGAGTCCACACTGGCAAGGCACTTAGAGCGCCCGGACTTTGCAGCTAGAGTGCTCCTGGTAATCCACCACCATGAAAAGCATAGAGCTTGCTGTGCCCCATCTGAAAACACCAGGGTTTCAGTGTGGATGACGTGTTGCATTACTGCATTGTGATTGGCCTCCGGAAACATTCCATAATCCCTTGACGTCAAGTGGCCACTCTGATCATTGTTTTGAATTCAGCTGCAGGCTTGCAGATATCCCCTTTCAAAGCTCCCTTTCCTGCCAGCCAGCTGAGGAGGGATGTGTGTGTGTGTGTGTGTGCGCACGTGCGTGCGTGCGCTGACATCCGGGTTTCCCCCTGCCGCTGTCTGAACTTACAAGACAGCATGTGACACACTCTCTGCCCTCCCCCAACACATTGTCTCTCCCCCCACATACACCCTCCACCCCCCCATTTGAAAAGCATGCTTGCAGCTGACGGTGTGAACACACGGCAGCGCTTTCCCTGCTGCGGTCTCCAAGGGCTGGTTTAACTCCCAGCGCTCTACCTCTGCAAGTGTAGCCATGCCCTCATATGATCACTTTTCCCAGGGCTTTTCCCTATGCCCAGGTTTGTCCATACTCAAACCAGGGACCCAGGAAGATTGACAAACCTCAGTGAATGTTTTAGTCATTCTCACCTGAGTTTGTAAGTAACAGTTTTGCCTTGATTCATTTTTTGGTAAGAATGTGTTTGCACTGCTGTGTAAATCACACTTGTAATTGTACTCACATAAAAATCACACTCAGCCAGTCAGCATCACACAAGTGATAATGTTGTGTGTATAGTCACACTAGTGTCCATATATGTCACAATCACACTGAGGTATCTGAACACACAGTCTATCACTTACATGTCTAACTGCTCTGGTGTGTACTGTAGGCTTACGATTGTTTGTGAATTTTTGCACACATAACTGGGTTTAAAAAAAAAAAAAAAACGGTCCTAAACGTCTTTCAATATAGCAGTAAAGCTCCTCAGGGCCCTACATTCTTCAGATCCTGTGAAGGATACAGACCCCAGATTAGCAAACCTTTGTGTTTTTAATTGAAAACCCTATTTATCATATTAATAAAACACCTGTAAACCCCAACCTTCAACACTTACACATTTTACACCCATGAGTAATCCTATTGCAGTCACTAGGATTAATCCCATGAGTAAAGTTCCACATGTACTTAAGTGTTTGCAGGATCAAGGACTTAGATCCCAATCCTGTGAGTTACTGAGCTACTCCTAGGAGATGCTGAGCTCCCTGGAGAGTGCTCAGCACCTTGTGGGAGTAGTTACCACCTTACAGGATCAGGCCTCCAGTTATTAACAGAACACGTGGTTAATTTTATAAGACTAGCAGCAGCAGTTAATGCTTAGAGAAAAACAAGATATTCGAGGACTGATAGCATATCAACAAGCAAAGCTGTTTTGCTGGGGATAATCCCAGTGGTTTATTTGATCATGGAGCAGTTTAATCTTTGTAAAGTGTACCCTCCAGAAATTCATGGAATTAACTTTTTTTCCTGTGATCATTGTAAATGAGTTAGAAAAATAATGTCAGCCTTATTGGTGAGGTTTCATAGTAGCTTAATAAACTAACAAAAAGACCTTTGTTGCAAATGAGGGGCGGGAGGAAATAGATCTCACTGCGTTCTTGCAGTATAGTAAAATCCACAGCAAACTGTTATTAAGAATGAGTTATTTTAATTAAGTCCTCCCCACTGATCCCCAGAGCTGGAGCTTGTCAACACCTTGTTGATAAAAGTCACTAATAAATTGGTTAGTCTCTAAGGTGCCACTAGTACTCCTTTTCTTTTTGCGAATACAGACTAACACGGCTGCTACTCAGAAACCTATACACGGTAGTTCTATACAGGCCTTTTTGAGCACAATGGGAAACAAGAGTGGGATAGAGCAAGGTATCTCACCATGTGGACTTTATTGCTGGGGTGCACCCTCATTTTAAGTAAAGATTGTTATCAAAACAAAAGGAGTTTACTCTACCTAAACGTAAAATCTAATTTCACTTGAACCTGTCACAGAGCTGGGATCTTGGGCTAATCAGCACTAAAGGCAAAAGCTCTTGACCCTCTAGCTCAGGTGTGGGCAAACTACAGCCTGGGAGCTGCATCTGGCCCTTTAGACATTTTAATCTGGGCCTTGAGCTCCTGCTGGGGAGCGGAGTCTGGGGCTTGCCCCACTCCATGCGTGCTGTGGCTCCGTGCAGCTCCTGGAAACAGGAGCATGTCCCCACTCCTATGTGTAGGGGCAGCCAGGTGGCTCCACACACTGCCCCAGCCCCAAGCGCTGCCCCTGCAGCTCCCATTGGCTGAGAACCATGGCCAATGGGAGCTGCAGGGGCGGTGCCTGCGGACAGAGCAGCGTGCTGAGCCACCTGGCCGCCACTCCGCTTAGGAGCTGGAGGAGGGACATGCTGCTGCTTCCGGGAGCTTCTACTTGGATCTGAGCTCATTTCTCCCAGGACCTCAGCCTCAACTTAAATTCCCCATTTAAAAATGAACATGTTTATGTTTATCCATCAAGCCAAATGCTATCAGGAAACAAGTTTTTTATGCTATTACATTTCCCTTGAGGAGAAGCTCTTTGTCCTGTCATAGCTATGACTCTCTCGGTCTGGGAGAGATGGAAAAACCAGATGGTAACTTTTTACACCATATCAGTTTATAAACCTGCTACAATTGATGCATCCAGAGAATGTCAACTGGCTTCAGTGTTGTGACTCTGGATTTACATTGGCATAGCTGTGAGCAGAATTTGGCTTCCATTTTTACAATAAAAACGAGACTGAAAAATAAATGAGTTGGAGTCTTAACCAAAACTCCCTTGCAGGATAGACACTTGTCAAAAACACTGTTTACCTGCTGTACGCTGTTTCTTAGCCAAAACCAGCTAATGCAGTCTCTCCGCAATGTTGAACAACGTTTTATAACTGGGAAATGTTGCCACTTCAACCTTCCTCGCTCCACCATAAAACAGTAACAGGACCCATTTTAAACATTTGTCTAACTTCCAAAGAGATTTTAATAGGCTTTTCTGGAGGGAGGTTAGGTAATGATGTGCTGCAGGCAAATGTGTGGAATAGTCTTTGATCCAAGGGTAAGGTGAGGCAGATCCTGCTTCAGGGTGGCTAATTACTTTATAAATAATATAGACTAGTTGTTATAGAATAGACCTCCAGACAAATAAATAAGATAGTGATATAGAGACTACTACTAATGTGGCAAATACTAAGGTAATGTTATTTAGAAGTTGTTGTTTTTCAGACTTTATTTTAAGAAATTTAAATGAGTACAAGTGCAGTAAGGAAGTAAACTGAAAATGAGCAAAATTCCCTCTTAATGTACTACAAGGATAAAAAATGCTGTGTAGAAGCAAAAAATAGCTTGATAGTAACACACTAGACCAGGTGATTACTTACCACACTTGGTGCGTTCATTATTGCTATGTAATAGATCTCTTCAGCTGGTGGAAGTTGGTAGTGCTCCTGTGACTTCAATCAGTGTTCACTAGCTGAGGATCTGTCCTCTTAGGTGGCTACCTGAAGGTTAAGCAGGAGTTGTAATAGGAAGAAAAGGAGAGCAAGAAGATAGAAAGGAAGACATAAATCGAGTGATGGAAGTCTTCGGGTGGAGGGAGGGAGGTGATGTCGCTAGACTTAGCCTATCACACATCTTGCAGAAGTCCTTGAAGTTATTTAGTTACCTAAAGCAGGGGATCTCAACCTTTTTCTTTCTGAGACCCCCTCAACAGGCTATAAAAACTCCACTGTCCATCTGGGCCACAACCAACTATTTTTCTGCATATAAAAGGCAGGGCCAGCATAAAGGGGCGGCAGGCAGGAAATTGCCTGGGGTCCCACGACACTGGGGGCCTTGTGAAGCTAAGTTGCTCAAGCTTCGGCTTCAGCCCTGGATGGCAGGGATTGGAACCCCAGGCTTCAGCCCCATGTGGTGGGGCTTCGGCCTTCTGCCCTGGGCCACAGCATCTCTAATGTTGGCCCTGCTTGGTGGGCCTCCTGAAACCTGCTTGGGAGCCCCGAGCCTCTGGTTGAGAACCACTGACCTAAAGCAACTGGCAATACTTAAGAGTGGCCACTGTATTTCCTGATTTGTCAATGATACAGACTAGTACCTTTCTATAGCTGTTGCTTAAAATTAACTTGATATTTCGTACTTACATTGGGGTTGGGCAGGTGAGAATCAATTGAAATGTAATGTTTTGACTCTGCAAGTCTGTTTTTTCCACCTACAGTTCATATCCATTTATATTTTTCTCCTACAGACAAAGAAATCCTGACTCATGAAGGCTATTTCGTTCCTGATCCAAATGGTTACCCGGTAACCAACTCAGTGGCAAGAGGGGATGTAGCTTGCTTCATGCCGTCTCTCCTCAACAGTAACGAATGGATAAAAAAAGGAGTGGCAATGTGTACCAACTAGAGGTTGTATTTTTCTTTGGCAGGATAACATAAGTACCAACCCCAGAGCAGCGGCAAAGAACGATCAAGCACTTATGACACAAGATAGACTTTTTGAAAAGAAAATTTTATTAAGGCAAAATTTCAATAAAATATTAAAATACGATATCATACATTACGTATTCAGGATCAAGTTAATATCCAAAGAACCTGGCTAAAGAAGTTACAGTTTGTTTGAATCTTCGCTTGTCTTGTCACAAAAGAATAATTTTCACTCAGTCCTCAGAGGTGATAAGCACCAGTAATTGCCTCGGAAGTCAGTGAGAGCTTTGGGTGTTCCACATCTCCATTAAATTCAGCCCTAAATGTTCTCTATAGTTATCAAATGCCTCAGCTTTACTTTACCATATAACTACTCACAAAAGACATTTACTGCTTCAGATACTCCATCACCACAAATGTTAGACCTGATTCTCTTCTCACTGTGGCTTGACAGCAGTGTAACTGCACTGGAATTGCTCGTGATTTACACTAGTGTAAGTGAGAGGAGAATCCAGCCCATAGTCACTTTTTGTACCTAGACTGTTAGCCTCCTCACTATGTTGTTTATTCTACTCTTCAGCTAAAAGACAGTGTCCTAGAATTTAGGAAATCTAAATATATGAACTGTATGCTACAAACTTCCTGTAGATTTAGGAGTTGAAGGTCATGTCAGTGATTCACATTAGCACACAACCATTTGTCAGGTCTGGTTAAATTGCTGCTTGGCGGTCTCCCTCAGCTCTTTTTAAGGGAAGCCATTCTAGGATATATATAATCAAGGCAGCATTGTATCTTCAAATATGGGGCAACAGATTTGATAAGTTCATACTGAAGCTTACAGGGTTTTTAAACCAGTTAATTGTACTTAATGACACTCTGTGCCTTGCTGTATTGTTTTTTTAAAGTCTTTTTATATTATTACTTAAAATGTTGCAAATTTTACTAGTTGTCATCCTCCTATCTTTGATATTGTTAGAACCAGCACTGTCTTCAATGTCAAAATACCAGTGACTGGACTATGGATAAGAATTGCTATTCACAACTGAGTATACCCTGCCACCAGGGCAGATGTGCTTGATAACAATATGCCCAAACAATCGAGCATGGACGTGCTGCTGCCTCCTCAGCGCAGGTTCCGTAAACCTTTCTGTCCAGATTCCCAACCACCTTCTTTCTGAGTGCAAGCTCCCTTTTCCACCCTTCTCTCTGCAAGTTTCCCCCAATACCACCACCCAAACCTCCAGCCTTCATCCTCCTTCCACACCCAGTGCAAGTTGATAATTATCCTCATTACCTCTAATCACACTGGCCGTTATTGCTGGGAACCTTTGTCAACGGTAGACTCATCCTCAACTCTCTGGTCTATACTGCTGGCAGCTGTTCACTTCCTCTTTAAAGACCTGATCTTCTGGGTGCTTTGGAGTTGATGGTACTCAGTTTTTCTTTTCCCAGGAGCTGCACAGTATCTCAAAGGATCAAATCCTTAACAGGGCATCAGAGAATTTATACCTTTTTATAGGTTTCAGAGTAACAGCCGTGTTAGTCTGTCTTCGCAAAAAGAAAAGGAGTACTTGTGGCACCTTAGAGACTAACCAATTTATTTGAGCATGAGCTTTTGTGAGCTACAGCTCACTTCATCGGATGCATACTGTGGAAACTGCAGAAGACATTATATACACAGAGACCATAAAACAATACCTCCTCCCACCCCACTCTCCTGCTGGTAATAGCTTATCTAAAGTGATCATCAAGTTGGGCCATGAGCTGTAGCTCACGAAAGCTCATGCTCAAATACATTGGTTAGTCTCTAAGGTGCCACAAGTACTCCTTACCTTTTTATGGTCACTTTGGGTAACTGCACCTTCTGTGACAGTGTAAGGACAGCCATGAATGCTGTGAAAACCAAAAGAACATGAAGTCTATCTTACAAAAAAACATATGAGGTCATTCAAAGGAAAGTGTTTGGTTTACTTCAGTTTTTATCCAGATGTCTGGTTTTGAATTATTTCTGGTGCCTACTTTCCGTGTAGTATTGTGAATATCAGTGTTTTTTCTTATTCCTATTTCAGTTAGCTATACATGGTCTCAAAGCACACCAGCCAGCCTGGGCACAATTAAAAACAGCTTTGCAACATTCATCACTGATACAAATAGGTTTTTAAAGATGCACATTACAAAGATAAATGATGATAAATCCTATTTTAAAGTATAATAAGCTAATTATTTCTCTTACCAATAAAATACATCTCATTTATTTTGATGTCTCATTTATTTTGAAATAGTTCACCTTCACAGGACAGAAATGTGGAAAAAGAAATAATCCATAGCTGTCTGGAAAAATTTAGGAATCATAGCTTTAATCTTGTGTTCCAGGCTCACCCTGGGAATTGGATCAAGGCCATACATACATAACATGCAGTATTACCGATGCTCTAATAACTAGAATTAAGAACACAAAGGCATTACTTTATTATCTGAGATAGTAGACTGCCAACTGCTTCCTGCCTGCTCCTTCTAGAACAGGGCAAGCAGCTGGCACTAACCACCGTCTCATTAGGGCATTGTGCGGAAAGGGTACTTAAATCGGAATCTATTAAACCACCACCATCTAATTGCAACCTCTAGTACAGAACCAAGCTGTTGCAATTCAATGATGATGATTCATGTGGGGTTCTGCTCCATTATCCTGCACGGGATCAATGTCAGCTTAACAAGCCTATAATTACCCAGGTTATCCCATTTATCCTTTTTAAAAATTGGCACAACATTAGCTTTCTTCCAGTTTTCTGGAACTTCCCCTGAGCTCCAAGACTTATTGAATACCAAACTTAACAGTCTGGGTCTTAAGTCTGCAGCATGTAACTGGAATAGAACATACAAATATTGAGCCAGGGTTTTTTTGGCTTGTTGGTAAATATGGGATTTTATTATTGTTTACTATTTTGCAATAAGTAATTATTATGATTCCAAAACCAGGAACTTGTATCAGGGTAGTTACCAAAGTAGATTTCTCTTTAGAAATGTCAGAGAACTTTTGCTCTGTTTGAGCCAGTCTGTAACTTCCTTCCCCTTCACATGCCATCTCAGCTAACAATTCAGATTTGCAAGTCAAGTCTGAATCAAGAGTTATCAAATCCTTGCCATGGCACTCCAGAGGCATAGAGTCTGACTACAGCTCAGAGGTCTGGACACACTCTAAATCCAGACAGACAAACAAACCCTGAAGAAGGAGGAACCTATGAGCAACAGCCTCTTCAAAATTCTAAAACCAAACCTGTGAATACTAGTATGATCACAGTGGACAGAAGTCAGTGACATTTGGGATGGGATAGGACAGACCTAAAAAAATATTTTGCAAGCCCACCCAAAACTGCTAAGGCTGTCTCCGCTTCCAACTAGAGTGAGGAAGAAAAAACTCTTTAAAACTTTGGGAGAAAGGAAACATACTACAATATGTGCCAGCCTACCACTATAAGAAATGGCCAGTAAAGCCAGGACTTCTGTATTACTACTGTGAAATTGTCCTTTACACAGATACTTAACATGTATATCTGGACACTGCTGTCATGCCAATGAAGTTACTGAAATTGAACAAAAAGAAAAGGAGTACTTGTAGCACCTTAGAAAGCTTATGCTCAAATAAATTGGTTAGTCTCTAAGGTGCCACAAGTACTCCTTTTCTTTTTGCAAATACAGACTAACACGGCTGTTACTCTGAAATTGAACAATATTTTTGCACAAGAATCAGGAGACTGGTCTGTTCCTAGTGGAAAGACAATCTTTGAACTAATATAGACTAATTACAACAACCTTCCTCACATGGTGCTTGATAAAAAAAACTGGAACTGGAGTAAAGGATTAGTCTCTTTCATGTAGAACTGTCAGTCCTTACCATCTCCTGTTTTTCTCCTCTGTCTGGCAAGACAAAGCAAACTACAGCCAGAGCAGCTGATGTCAGCAATGTTATGTGAGAGCCCCCAGTTTCCAGCAGCAGCAGCAGCAGCAGCAGCATACAACACACATGCTTTTGTATAGTCATCTTAAAACTGGGAGAGCAAAAATAATCTGTTTGCCTATTGTTTAATGGCAACAGAGTAAAGTGCACATTTCTGCTTTTCCTGTAAAGCATAAATTCTCAAACTTTTTAATTCAGCAGATTATTTCATACAAGGAAAAACCTGAGGGGCAACCACTTCGCCTCCTGACATTTCATTCTTCTACTGCTTGGTTCTCAAAGTATTTTATTATCTGGACCATCCCCCAGACCACAATAAGAACCACTGCAATAAAGTAGCATGATCATTTTCTGTCCTTTACGATTTCCAAATAACCTCTAAAAGAGAAAAAAAGAGGCAAAAACAGTCCTTCTACTGTGCTATCCTGTAACATAAAATATAAAGTCTGAATTAAATGAAGAAAAGCAAGGAAATCCAAAGGTAAGGCTAATGCTTTGTTACAAACTAATTTTTTTTTTTTTAAATATTTAACTTTCAAAAACCTGGTGCCATATTTTTATAGGATCATAGCAACCAGGGAGGGAAAAGACTTTTGCTGTATAATCAAGTCTATTCACCTGCAATAGTTAGATACAGTATGAAGACTGAGAAGGTTATCCGATATTAAATGTATCATGGACATAATCGTCATTAAGGATTAGTGCCTTTAATGTAGATGAAATGTGGTTTCAAAAGAACCAGGCTGAGTGTTTTAAAAACCTGGTCTATAAAAATGTACCCAGGTATGACTTAGGGTATGCACAGTACACTATTTTCCATTAAGTTTTGAATGATGTACTGAGGTATGGAATTCATATATATTGATGTGCAAGTGTGCATATACTTGGAGTGAGGCACATCATAGCTGTGTTAATTTCAATGATTACGTATTCAAACAGAGATGTCATGTAGTTATTTGAGTGAGCTATAAATCAAATTTCCTGTATTGGGGCTGCTTATGTGGCCTTCCTCTCCTCTGCTTTAGTAATATCATCTTTCTGACTCTCACTGGCTTCCTGTTTTTTCCCCTACATAAAATCAGAGCTCGGGGTTTTCACCATTAAAACCCTACATAATTTTTGCCCCATCTACATTTCTAGTCTCCTTTCCTCTCTCTCTCTTACCCCCTATGTTCATGTCAATCCTTTTTTCTTACTGTTCCCTAAATCTTTCCTTGCCTCATGCCTTTTTTGTGCTGCCCCATTTGTTTCTTGTCCAGCAAGCACTTTCTTTTTCCTCCTTCGAATCCTGTTTTAAAATCCATTTCTTCCCTCAATTCTTCTTGTATTGGCCTCACCAGCAATGACTCCATTCATACCTGCAACTGATCTGTTGTCCTATGTCTATTTTGTCTATGACAGTTATAAGCTGTTTTGGGGAGAGACCATGTCTTCTGTTTCTTGACAGAAGACATGACTTACATATATGTAGAGTTTACATAAATATAAATAAAACAACAACAGTAGGAAAGATTCCTGTGGACTTTAATGGAAGTTGAATCAGGCCTTAGCAGCAATGAAGCCAAAATTTATATCCTCCTTCATCCCTTTCACATGCAAATATTTTGCACTGCATGTGGCTGCAGTTGTAAAGCTGCCTTGATGGCAAAGGACAATATTTTGTCACACATTTTATTTTTAATTTAGAGTAATATTTTCTCAAGTTTTTCTGGGATTCATCGATCTAGATTCCTTGAAGATGGCTAAAAAATGAGGCAGGTGAACAGACTTTCGACAGATTGTTCCAGACACAGACATCTTGGAGCAATGAATAATACCCTATTCCCATCCCCAACTTTGTTCCCAGAGCAAAGACAGAACAGCCATTCACAACTGCTGTGAGGGACAAAGGAGAGGCAGTTTCTTAAGTACCCCATGCCTGGATTATTAACATTACATGCATTATGAAATAATTTTAACAATATTAATAATGAGGTCTGCAATGTAGATGATAGCATCAAATGAATATCTAATTATCAACTACACCTATAAGAAAGAGGTGTTTCAATCACACTTTGAACAGAGGATATGCACACTGGATATAGTTCACATTGCCTTTATTGACAGGTTTCAGAGGAACAGCCGTGTTAGTCTGTATTCGCAAAAAGAAAAGGAGTACTTGTGGCACCTTAGAGACTAACCAATTTATTTGAGCATGAGCTTTCGTGAGCCACAGCTCACTTCATCAGATGTGTACCGTGGAAACTGATGAAGTGAGCTGTGGCTCACGAAAGCTCATGCTCAAATAAATTGGTTAGTCTCTAAGGTGCCACAAGTACTCCTTTTCTTATTGCCTTTATTGTTAACTTATCCAACAATCAAACATATCAGCTTAAGCTTTCATCCCCATATTAGCTGTCCCTAAGGTTTCTCCCTGCAGGGCTGCTTCTGTCCCATCCTCTAATTCCCTCTGCACCAAAGACAAATACTCAAACCCCTATTGTACTCCTAAAGTGGAACTATTTGAACATGCCTGATCCAACTTCATAGTAACCCATCAAAACTATTAGAATGACCCCACAGAAGAGTTCACAGTCCCCATAGTGCAGAAGTGAGCAAACGTTTTGGCCCCAGGGCCACATCGGGGTGTGAAACTGTATGGAGGACCAGGTAGGGAAGGCTGTGCCCCCCAAACAGCCTGGCCCTGCTCCCTATCCACCCCCTCCCACTTCCCACCCCCCTCAAAACCTCCCACCCATCCAACCCCCCTGCTCCTTGTCTCCTGACCGCCCCCTCCCGGGACCCCCGCCCCCATCCAACCCCCTCACCCCCTGTCCCCTGACTGCCCCGACCCCTATCCACACCCCCACCCCCTGACAGGCCCCCCAGGACCCCGCCCCCTATCCCCCATCCCCTGCCCCCCCCAACCTCTGCCCTATCCAACCGCCCCCTGCTCCTTGTCCCCTGACTACCCCCTGCCCCATATCCAACCCCCTGGCCCAGGCCCCCTTACCATGCCGCTCAGAGCAGCATGTCCAGAGCCACGCCACCCAGCCGGAGCCAAACATGCTGCCCTGCATGAGCGCGCAGCCCCGCCACCCAGAGTGCGGCCTGCGTGCTGTCATCGCTGTGGGGGAGGTGGAACAGTGGGGGAGGGGCCAGGGGCTAGCCTCCCTGGCCAGGAGCTCAGAGGCCAGGCAGGACGGTCCCCCAGGCCGGATGTGGCCCTTGGGCCATAGTTTGCCCACCTCTGCCATAGTGGGTCCTAAACATCCACCATCCTACTACAATATCATAATAGGAAATCTGAGAAGTCCATTACCAGACATCATAAAGACTAAAGAACATCCAGGAGGAAGTTGTCACATGCACCCTGGAAAGACACCACAAAGTTTTCTTCGAAAGCATTGTTGTTTCAGAGGCTTAAACTAAATAGCCACAACAGAAAACTTATGCTCAAATAAATTGGTTAGTCTCTAAGGTGCCACAAGTACTCCTTTTCTTTTTGAGAAATTCAGTAGAATACGTTACAGTCTTCATCTGGTCTTTATGATTGCCACTGACCTGTGTTGGTTCCTACTGCAGTTCCAGTAGGTGTTCAGATACCTGAGTGATGAGAAAGGTGGAAATGTCTAGAGAGAAAGAGAGAAATAAACACAGGAATCAGTAACCCTGTAGTGGGGTATACTGGCCCTTTAAGCCCAGAAGGGGCAAGGTGACCCTGTGCCAGAAATACGAGCACAAATGAAAGCCGAGGACATGGCCAAAGCCAGAGCAAGAAGAAAGGAAGTAGCCCCTGGGAATTAGTGGTTGGTGGGTAAAACTCAGCCCACTGTCTTTTTAAGGGTTCAGGACCAGGAACCCTGTGGTGTAGGATAGGGCAAGGCTTCCCTCTTTCTCAATCAACCAGAACAAGCCCTCAGAAGGAGGGCAATATACACACTGCCCCTTCCTTCTCCTTCAGGATGGGGAGATGCGAGGAGGAGGAGGAGGAGGAAATCTATTTGTGTGCTGACCTCTCCAAGGGAAAGGGGCTGAGTGTGAAATAGGGACCAGCTGGAAAGAAACTGGTTGAGGCCTGTCGCTGGTCGGAATGGCAACCCAGACCCAGGAGAAAGGCTACGAACTCCCGGAAGAGGGAGAGAGGCTGTTTGTCTTCTAGTCTGTCTCTAGGAGGAGTGCTGTGAATTCCTGAGCCAAGGAAGGAAACAGCTTTTATCCTGCTCCTGGGAGAGTCCTGCGGCCCGCCGACGCAAAGGGGGAAAGGCGGTGCAGGTGAGGGCATGCAGAAGAACAGTGCTTCGCAGAGCTGGCCCGTGAGGACCTTTGAAGAGATGGAAAACCCCTGCCCCCCCCGTCAGCGGTCAGGAGGAGCCCTACCCCGACGTTTCCCAGGGGCCCCGCAAAAAGAAATTTGCCCCCGCCCCCGCCATGACGGCGGGTTGGCGCATGTGCAGGAGTCCCTGCCGCGTGCGTTTTGCGGCCCCCCTCAACCATCCTGGCGCCTGGGAGGAATTGCACATGCGTAGCAGCCACCCCGCTCACAGTCCTTTTGTATGCGCCAGAGAGCTTCCCGCACCCCGCCGCACGTCCCGGAGCTGGGTTGCGCGCGCACAATCTTGCCCTTCCCCGCCCCTCCTGCTAGGGTGGTGGGGCGCGTGCGTCCGTGGCGGCCGGCTCTGGGCTGAGAGAGCGGCGGCGGGTAGCGCAGCGCAGCGCGCGAGAGGTAACGGCCGGGCGCAAACGCCCCACGTAGGTGCGCCCCTGGGCTCGCGAGCGGCAGGGATACGGGGGCGGGGGGGGGTTTGAGGGGGGGTCGTCTGCCGAGGGGACAAAGGGGGCGGGGCAGGTTAGGGAGGAACCTGCGGAGAGCTCCGGGGGGCGGGGAGGCCGGCTGGCTGGCTGGGGAGCGAGGCGGAGGGCAGGAGATGGGTGGCTGGGGTGATGCATCTTTGTAAAATTATTATTTCCTTATGCGGCTGCAGGTTATGCATTTGCGTACCGTGACCTAGCACCTTTGTGACATGGCAGACCCCCACATTTTGGCAGCAAGGGGGTACACACGTTATTTTCATGCATAACAACATTGGGCACTTTACAAGACGTCACGTTTTTCACTTGTCACTCAATTTGAATGTGCAAAGTATTTAACTAGTCAACTCGTTTTTCATAAACATGAAACTTCCTCTTCCTCGAAAGCATCTAGCGATAATGCAAATACTGCAGTAATGTAACATGTTATGAATGCTCTAATTAGAGCTGTACTGCTGGCCTCAAATTGCTGCTGCCTCTTGGTTACAGGGCTAAATACTGTATTACCCCTGCTAGCACCCAACCAAGATCCAGGGTACAATTTTTCTAAGTATGGTAAAGGCACACACAGTCTGCCTTGAAGAGTTTACAATCCAATTAGGGTCTCAAGTATTAAACAAAAAATGGTCTCCTTTCCTCTCTCAATTGTGGGAATAAACAATAAGTTGTAGAAGCATTTTACTTGGTGGGTGTGGGGGGTATATTGTATATATGGAGATGAGTATGTGTGTAATTTAGCGAGGAAAAGCTAAATCAGAAATAGTACAAACTTTTCTTTCTACATGCTGAAGTTAGTAGTCATTTTTATATGTTTGAGTATTGAATTCCACAGTCCCGGTCTGGTTCCTGTGAACACTGTCTACTGCTGTCCTGGTCAACGGTTTTTAATACAGTATAGCAGTTGTGACAGGTCATGGTTATGAAGAGAGACACAGTCTCATGTAGCTAGGGCCAATTGCATGATGGTCTTGGAATACGAAGACAAAGTTCTAATTGGATTCTGGATTTAACGTGGAGACAGTGCAGAGCATGCAGCATAGAGGTGACGTACCTATAGTGATTTGTATTAGTCAGCATTCTGTATTGGCAAAAGCTTTCTTGGAGGTATGTTGCATTCTTAGATCTGAATTGTAGTAACTGAGCATTAGTCATGATTGCATGGATCATCATGTCTAAATCTAACAGGATGGTGTGCAGTTTTCTAGCTCACTGAAGATTTAGAACAGGTCTAATCACTCAGAAGCATAACAGAATCCCTGCATTCCAAAACTAATGTATCCAGCCAGTCATTCAAATCACTACAAAATACCCCATCACATCAAAAATCTCAGCTCCCCCCAAAAGCCCAACTAATTAGATGGTTATTTGTAATAATTCTTCACAGCAAGAAATAGGTCTGGAGTTGAATGGAACACTTCATTCTATGTTATCTCACTACCTCCCTTATTGACTTTATGTAGGTGTTTGAATATGGTAGAGAACATGATTGTTCATCTTCTTCCAGAATCCAAAAAGGTTCAAACATGAGTCTGTGGATTCAGTCTGAAAGGAAGAACTTAAGTTGTTTTAGATTATTTCCATTCACCACTGCAACCTCTTTGAGAGGCAAGATAATTTGATGATTGTTGGTATCAAATGTAGAGAGGTCCAAGAGGATGAGAATGGATGGCCTTATCTTGACAGTGGACTGGAAGAGGTTGTTGGATAGAGCAAAGAGTGCTCCTTCTGCACCATGCCTTGACAGAGAGATCCAGGAGGCATTGGTGAATCAGTTTTTGTTTTCTCAATTAGCTGGTGTGTGAAGGGAAGTTTAATACTGGATGCTCACCATTGTCAAGTGACAGTTTCTTTAATAATGGTCCAGCTATTGTGAATGTGTTTGTGTGTGCCATAGGTAGGGCCCTACCAAATTCACAGCCGTGAAAAATATATCATGGACTGTGAAATCTGGTCTTTTGTGTGCTTTTACTCTATACTATAGAGATTTCATGTGGGAGACCAGCGTTTCTCAAATTGGGAGTCCTGCCCCAAAAGGGAGTTGCAGGGTGGGGTCACAAAGTTACTGTAGGGGGGGTTGTGGTATTGCCACCCTTACTTCTGTGTTGCCTTCAGAGCTGGACAGCCGGAGAGTGGGGGCTGTTGGCCAGGCGTCCAGCTCTGAAGGCAGCACCCCGCCAGCAGCAGTGCAGAAGTAAGGGTGGCTGGCCAACAGGCTCCACTCTCCGGCCGCCCATCTCTCAAGGCACTGCAGAAGTAAGGGTGGCAATACCACAACCCCCCCTACAATAACCTTACGAACCCCTCCCCCCCCCGCCTCCTGTTAGGGGGCTTATTCCTTCACCCACTCACTTCCCTGGTCCTTCTCGCATGAACAGAGAGCAACAATAACCAAAGTCCAAAGGTGCAAACAATTCGATGTTTATTGGGGTGAACTTCCAGCAAGCATGATTCCAGTTTCCTTCCTTAGTATCCTCCTTCCCAGCTCTGACACCACAGAGCCTTACACCTGTGTCCCTGTTCCCATTCCTGCCCTTAGCCAAACATGATTCCAATTTCCCCAGCCCCATTCCCTGTTTCCATTTCCCCCACCTGCATGCCCAACCTCCTACTTCCTGATTGACTGCAGACTATATAGTAAAACTTGAGTTCTGCTTAGCTATACCTTAACCAATCATTTTCCTGAAATTTAACTAACCAATCCTAACATATTGTAACATGATTATGTAACCAATTATATCCCACCACCTTAATTAGTTTACACCCAGCAAAATTAATTATACAGCAGACAGAAACAATCACAGAACCAGACAGAGATTATACAGACAAACAATAGCAAAGTGGGAACTATAATGACAAAACAATACAGAAGTGAGGATTTCACATCCCAGCTATTGATAAGTGAGTTCTTGCCAGACAGGATGCTATCAAACTAAGTTTCCTTTTATATTTTCCAGGCACTTCCCTTTCTCTGGAGGTGACAGGCACTATCAGGACAGGATTGTATTCCTAACAGCCCAATAGCACCTTATATCAATGTGACTAGTTTGGAATGTGAGGATGTGACCGTTCACTTCCCAGCTTATGGCTGCCTCTGTTGCTTAGCCAAATACCCCTACAATAACCTTACGAACTCCACCCCGCCTCCCAACTCCTTATTAGATCAGGATCCCTGCAATTACAACACAGTATGCATCCGATGAAGTGAGCTACAGCTCACGAAAGCTTATGTTCAAATAAATTGGTTAGTCTCTAAGGTGCCACAAGTACTCCTTTTCTTTTTGCGAATACAGACTAACACGGCTGTTACTCTGAAACCTGTAATTAAAACACTGAAGTTTCAGATTTAAATAGCTGAAATCATGAAATTTAAGATTTTAAAAATCCTATGACCATGAAATTGACCAAAATGGACCATGAATCTGGTAGGGCCCTAGCTATAGGGTGGGAGGCAGGATTCCCTGAAAGAAGGCATTGTCAGCTCTCCTCCCCCTTTTGTAGGGACCTTAGATTATCTGAACCTTTACCAGACAGGAAAGCAGATGCTGGCAGCAGCCCCAATTGCTGTTTGTCCTTGGATTGCTATTTTGTGAATGGCTTGGATTTTTGGAAGGTGGGATTTTCTGAATCTGTGCTCAGTTTGACTTTCCTGGTGTCCATGAGACTGTCCTCAATATTTGTGATCTTTGAAGTACATTATTTATTTCAATCTATAGATATGAAAGACATGTCCACAGCTGTAGGGGCTCCGATTATGTATAATAAAAATCCAAACAGAATTAGCTACCCAGAAGCTTAGGTGAATACCGGTGCACTGTGGATTCTTACCGACTTCTTAGCTAATGAAATACTCTATCACAATCATACCCTCAGTTCTTCTCCAAAGCCCTAGCAAATAGAGGATAGAAGTAATTCCTCACAGCAAGAAAGATTCTGAGGTTGGGTGGAAGTTGTCTGTGTTTATGAAGAGGTTTTATGGCTGAAAGAGTTTTGCAGGTATGTCTTTGTAGCTCCTAGGCCAGGCTAAAGAAGCAGGTTCCTTTTTGTGCCTTCACAGTTGTGGCATAGGATTGTAAAAATTCCTTGTGGAAAAACAAGTCTGTCTGATCATGCTTTTCACCACAGATGTCCAGTTTTTCTTTCTTCCGTTCTTGCTTTTTCTGCCAGCAGTTGTCCAAGAACCAAGATATTTGTGTGGGCAGTGGCCTGAGAGAAGGTGTTTGTCTGCAGCAGTCATCTGGGTTTCATTGTATAAAGAGATTAAATGTCCTTGGGTTGTGCCAAATATATGGAGACCTTTTTCTTTTACATTGTCTCATTAACCATAAGGCACAAAACAGTATTTCACGAATTGTTATAAACACAGCTTCCTTTGTATTGATTGAATCCTAGCTTGTTTTCATGTTGAGGAGTCTTAATCTGTATTGTGCAAGAAAGTAAAGTGCTTCTCTTCTGTATATTTATTGTTAAAAGATTTAGTTGATTAATTCAGTGAGACGCTGAATTATTTTTTTGTTTAACTGTATGGGTTTCTTTGTATAAATCCAGCCACAAAATCTAATGCTTCTGGGGCTGGTAGAATGACACTTCTTTTCTCAGGATTAATTCACTTATTTCAAGCCCAGTATCAAGCAAAAAATAATTAAAATATACATTTCATGTTTTCTTTACGTATAAATACTGTCACTTGCTCTGTCCCCCTTCACACTCCCAATTAGCATGGTAATCCTAAGCAGTTTTGCGTGGGGCTTGTGTAAATCAGTTAACTGTTAATCTGATTTAGTAAAGAAGAGTTTTGAGGTTTACATTAACTTATTTTTGTATAAGGTATACTTCTGCTTCCTGACCTAGCTGTAATCAGAGGATGAATAGTGAACAGCTGCTTCTGCAGCCGATGCCAAGGCTGCTTCTTGGTTGCAGTCTGGACTAGAGAGCTGCATTCCCCTC